GTGCTGCTAATCATGAGCTATGTGTTTAACATAGGCACTAAATTTATTGTAAAATCCAGTCCAATGTTCCCATATTGTTTAAACGAATGGAGTATTATTATTGTTCTTCTTGATGTATATGAAAATGTGAGGATTACTTAAATACTTCTTCTTTACTCTTCAGGTTATAACACTGGATATGGGTCTTCTAGTTGCTGGCACAAAATATCGTGGAGAGTTTGAGGAAAGATTGAAGAAGCTGATGGAGGAAATTAAACAAAGTGATGAAATTATACTTTTCATTGATGAGGTGCACACATTAATTGGAGCAGGAGCGGCAGAAGGGGCAATTGATGCTGCGAACATATTGAAACCAGCTCTTGCTAGAGGTGAACTGCAGGTTAGTTGGAAGCAAAAGATACTTTGTTTTTGTTTCTTTCGAGTGGTGGCTAGGCACTATGTAGTTGGAATATCTAGAATCGTACACTTGAAGCAAAGGTGTGGTACATGCACAGTTATAAAAACCCATTCTCCTCTTTCTCTCCCTTCCCATCTATGCACAAAAGTGGAAAGTGCAAGAATTACGTTTGCAGGAGTGATCGAGTAGGGTTTAGTTTTATGGTGTTCAGAACACACTTGGCATGTCAGATATAAGGTTGTGTCAGTAGGTGACAAAGTGATAAATTCTAGTGGTTTCAGCAATACTTATGAGAATCCTGGCTTTTATGATCATATGTTGATTCTGGGTGATTGATTAGAATTTCTTGGTATTATCTTCCAAAATTAGCAAGTATTACTTCTAGAATTGATTACTACTGATACAGAAGTACAGTTTCACGCTCTAACTTTTCTAAGTGATAATGTTAGGTTGGTGCTTCTTAAAATTATTGTAATACATTGTAAAAATATTTACATCTCTATCCGTTGGTCTAGTGTATTGGGGCTANAACTTTTCTAAGTGATAATGTTAGGTTGGTGCTTCTTAAAATTATAGTAATACATTGTAAAAATATTTACATCTCTATCCGTTGGTCTAGTGTATTGGGGCTACAACCCTGGATGAATACAGAAAGCACATTGAGAAAGACCCTGCTCTGGAAAGACGATTCCAACCAGTGAGAGTACCTGAACCCACTGTGGATGAAACAATACAGATTTTGAAAGGACTTCGAGAGCGATATGAGATTCATCATAAGCTCCGTTACACTGATGAAGCCTTAGTTTCTGCAGCCCATCTGTCATACCAGTACATCAGGTACATGGTTTCTGTGATTAAATTTATTCTCCACTTAATGACTGTACTTTGTAAATTGGTCGGTCGCTTGTCATGGCTAGGAAAATGTTTTGATGGATATGTGCCACTGTAAAATAAAAAGTAATAGGTATTAACAAACATAGTAGCATTTGGTGGTGTTGGTTTCCTTAGCATCTCATAAAAATTCCACTATGGTAAGGGCAGTCAAACCAGCTCTCATACGAGCTCCCAGAGATTCATTATTTTCAGTGTAAGCTAGAGCCATTTTTGATTTGGCAATATTTTGTTGCCTCGGTTTTGGTTGGTGTATGCTTCCAAGATGCTGTCGTGAATGCCCACCTCAGAGAACACATGGATTCCCGTGACTTTGTAATTGATATATTTTTCCCGTGAATAACTCTTCTAGGACTTGTGAGAATGTTGTTGGAACCTTTTATATCTGGAACAGGGGAGGATGAGGGTTGGAAAGATCGTATACCAGGAGTTTTAGGAATTCCTTGGGTCTTCTTCTTCTGCAATATGAGATAGGAATTTGGTTTTACAGATGTGCACTTTTTTTTTTTGGCTTTTTAAAATCCTCCTGGGCGCCATGGAGATAAAGCACAAACTCAGGACACTCAACTTTCTGGTGAGCCTATTTATTTGACTCTAGAGTGGAAGTAAAACAAAACAAAATTCTTTTGTCTTTGGCAGATATTTAACCCTGCACGGGTGATGTGCTTATGATGAGAAAAATGAAATATGTATGCATTCTTTGTGGTCACTCGTCTTTCTCAAGGCTCTTGCTCAAGCTTCATGATTAATTACGACTTTTTTTGTGTACTTGTTATGTATCCAGGCACTTTGTGCATTTGTTTTCTAACCTTATGATTCAGTTGTATCTCATTGTTAATTTTTGTGCATTTCAGTGACCGTTTTCTGCCTGATAAAGCAATTGACTTGGTTGATGAGGCTGGTTCTCGTGTTCGACTTCGTCATGCACAGGTATGAAAACATTTAGCTTCCTTTTTATCCATTCTATTCTTTTAAGTAGTTAGATAACTCTCTATCTTTTGTAGCTCCCAGAGGAAGCCAGAGAGCTTGAGAAAGAGCTCAGGCAGATCACAAAGGAGAAGAATGAAGCTGTCCGTGGTCAAGACTTTGAAAAGGTACTCATTAAATTCCCTTGTTAGTTATTATTTATACAGTTGGATAGTCATATGTAATTTGGTTGAAGGGATCCTACACTTTTTATACTGTTTGTACACAAGTCCCGCAGGGAAATGCAACATAATTTTCAGAGAAATTCGATGTCGTTAAATTCTGTTCGATAAAAAGGAATGTTCGAATCAAGGCTTGTGGGATCAACAAAAATTTCTCAACAATCGAGAGTTTCAAAGCTGTTTAGGATTCTATGTGTATTTAATTTCTGTACCAGATTTATCTAGTAAGCTTATGTCATTAAATTTGTGNAATCAACGAAAATTTCTCAACAATCGAGAGTTTCAAAGCTGTTTAGGATTCTCTGTGTATTTAATTTCTGTACCAGATTTATCTAGTAAGCTTATGTCATTAAATTTGTGAACAGGCTGGAGAGTTACGAGATAGGGAAATGGATCTTAAGGCACAGATATCCACTCTTGTAGACAAAAACAAAGAGATGAGCAAGGCAGAAACCGAGGCAGGGGATGGGGGCCCGGTTGTGACAGAAGTTGACATTCAGCACATTGTCTCTGCTTGGACTGGCATACCTGTTGAGAAAGTGTCTACTGATGAATCTGATCGCCTCCTCAAAATGGAAGAGACCCTCCACAAACGAGTCATTGGTCAGGATGAAGCTGTCAAAGCCATCAGCCGTGCTATTCGTCGTGCCCGTGTTGGGCTTAAGAACCCCAACCGGCCAATTGCTAGCTTCATCTTCTCTGGGCCAACTGGTGTCGGAAAGTCAGAACTGGCAAAAACACTGGCGGCCTACTACTTTGGGTCAGAAGAAGCCATGATCCGGCTTGATATGAGTGAGTTCATGGAGAGACACACTGTCTCGAAGCTCATTGGTTCACCACCTGGTTATGTTGGTTACACTGAAGGTGGTCAGCTAACTGAGGCTGTTAGACGCCGTCCTTACACTGTTGTGCTCTTCGATGAAATTGAAAAGGCTCATCCAGATGTCTTCAATATGATGCTTCAGATTCTTGAGGATGGAAGGTTGACAGACAGCAAGGGCAGAACTGTGGACTTCAAGAATACACTTTTGATTATGACTTCCAATGTTGGAAGTAGTGTGATTGAGAAGGGAGGTCGTCGTATTGGTTTTGATCTTGATTATGATGAGAAGGATAGCAGTTACAATAGAATTAAAAGCTTGGTGACCGAAGAACTGAAACAATATTTCAGACCAGAGTTCCTGAACAGATTGGATGAGATGATTGTGTTCCGACAGCTCACCAAGCTGGAGGTGAAAGAGATTGCTGATATAATGTTGAAAGAGGTTTTTGAGAGGCTGAAAACCAAGGAGATAGAGCTTCAGGTAACAGAAAGGTTTAGGGATAGGGTGGTTGAAGAAGGGTACAACCCAAGCTATGGTGCGAGGCCACTAAGGAGAGCCATTATGAGACTGTTGGAGGATAGTATGGCTGAGAAAATGCTTGCACGGGAGATCAAAGAGGGTGATTCAGTCATCGTCGATGTTGATTCTGATGGTAACGTGACTGTCCTCAATGGTAGCAGTGGTGCTCCTCCAGAGTCATTACCAGAGCCTATTCCGGTGTAGACCAAAGCTTTTCATATTGTGATATATACCAATATGTTGTTTGTACTGCTGCTTTTTATTATTGGTTAGTAATACGTTTATATTTTTGTTGAAGAAACTGGTTGGGAGTAGATTAGAAGCGGAAGCAGAGTCAATCGTGTCCAAGTTTGAGGGATGTATCTACTCTCAATTGTATGCACAGTTCAGTCACTCATCAGTTGTTTGTGTTAGATTGCAGACATTCACAATTTGGTAGCAGCAATAGGTGTAAAATCATGTCGTTGCTTATAGTGTTACAATACCTCTTGGCTGTGAGATTTATGTTCTTTTGCCCTGTACAAGGTTATGTAATTGCTATGCCAATGACAGCTGCTAGTTCCCTGTTCCTTCAAAATTCTTGGGGTGTCAATGGGTGTGCTTGGCCTATGGATCTGTTACTTGGTCTAAAAAAATAAGTCCAAAACTAAATAAAGTCAATACCCGGCCCACTAGCCCACCCACAAAAAATCATTAAAATTTGGTCCCAGAACCTGCTCAGCCAGGACTACCCATTAACCCACCTTGTTTGAAAAAAAAAATTGACTATTGAAAGTTTGGTGAAATCTATCAATTTTGACTCTACTTTTAATTCAAAAATGTGATTTATAAAAATAATAAATTGAAATTTTTTTATAAAATGAAGATGTATATATATGTTAAAAAACTTGCCCAATGAATGATAGGTTAGATTGCGGATAGTCTATCCGTATTTTCCTACTTTAAGGCCAACCTATTCAATAACTCATTCGGATAAGGGTTTGAACCTACCCTACCCAAACCCAGCCCAAAAATCTCATGGCCCTAACCCTACCCAGCCCAACCCATGGACATTCCTAACTCTTAATCAATATCACGCTCTAATTTTAATCTTAATGATGCCCAAGCCCATATTGTTCTTTACAACTCTTTCTGGGTGACAGTTTACTTCAGCTGGAGAATGAAATATAATGTATGAATCTACAAGAAACTTGTGCGACTATATATCATCTATACAGTAGTGCTTAAAATAGTATTGTGCGATGAAGTTAAATAGACAAAGAAAGACTTTATAGAGACCTGTAGCTCACTGGGGCTTGCAACTTGCAAAAATTTATCTACAGCAACTTAATATTCCGATTCACCTATCATTGAATGAGATGATGTCCTTTGTGTAGGGCTAACACTTCCACCACGACTAACCTTAAGTGCTTCCAAGGCCTTTTGTATTTCCATTGTCATGGCACTGTCCACACTCCCTGATGATAGTTTCTTGTGTGATTTCTGCAAATGAAGCTTTAGCGAGCTGCTACTCAAGCCAGCATTTTTTCCACAGATGGGACAGACCTTCATAACTGGTCTCCGTTTTTGCCATTCCATGGAAACCTTCCCATGCAACTTCCTATCTAGGTCCAAAAGAATCTTAGCAAATCCATCATTGGGTTGGGCACGTCGGTGAACTCGTCTCAGGGTATTCCATGCTTCCAATAACGAGAAGTTCCTTCAAAAAAAAAAACACGAGATTAGAGAATTTGAGACTTACTAACAAACTTCAATGCACCATATATTTAAAAAATGACATAAAATTTAAGCAATGTTGTACTCATGGGTGGGTTCCACGACTAATATAGAACAACCCAAACTGTATAACATTTGGATGCCGCATAATGGTCAACCACAATTTCTTAGTTATGTACTTGTAATTTGCACTAACTTTCTGAGCATCAAGTAAGCAAGAACTAATGTTGCACTTCTACTTCTCCCCTCAAAGCAATGAATCAGAACCTTCCCACCTAGTTGTTCAACGTGATCAATGAAATCATGTGCTTCCTCAAAGATTTCGTTGATGTTTGTATCTTCATTGTCACATATCTGCATACAAGGGCAATTCAATATCATACAACTGCTTCCACAAAGCTTCCAAAGAAGTAAATAATTGGCACATGGAAAGAAATTGCACTTACAGAAAAATTCTTATACTCGAATAACTCAGGATTTTGAGAATCTGATTGTCCAATTTCATTAGAGCACAAGCACAATATATGTGTAATTCCCAAGTGTTGCAGAGTGTACACAGATCTCGCAGCCAGCGCCCCACCGATGAACAGATTAGTTGAAATTGATGATGGCTTTTCTGTATTTGCAGCATCTGAAATCAACGCTATCCTCTCAAGAATGTGCTCTAGCCTGACCTGTAACTTGTATACAACCTTAATGTTTACAATAATAGCTCTGTATAGGACATTGAGAGTCAACTCATAAACAAAAAATTGCATCCAAATGTTGAAAGAAACTATTACCTTCAACTCATAAGCATCAACGACACAATTGCTATCACTACACTCAAAAAACCCTGTATGGAAGTTGTTCTCCTGACATAGCTTAACTGCATCATTTTTAAGCATTTCATTCCATTGTTCTAACTCTTTGTTTAGTTCCACATCCACCTGCAAAATGATCAACAAACTACGGTCAAATTATGCTGATATAGAAAGCACAGAAACATTGCACTCAACAAAACCACACAACTACAACTTCTACATTGCAAGGGAACCCTAGAATTCAGTCCAAGACCTTGGTCATTCAACTCTGGATAATTTTTATCAATTCATACTTTAATATCATGTTGCTTTATCCATGTTAGCAAGAAAATAAATAATACAGTGATAACCACTAATAAAATGGCTATGTTTGATCCATGTGTTTTCAGAATGGGAACATCACTTGGCCAATGCCACCTGTGAAATAGATTATCAACAATTTGACAATTGGAGTCATGATGGAAAAGGTTGAGTTCTACTGAAAGAAATACATTATCCCTTAAATAGTCACTTTCAACTAGAGGATCACCATTACACCTTCCACAGACTAGCAACCTATGTTAAGTAAAGCACTAGCCCTGCCATTTTAAAAATTCGCATGGGGCTGAATAGGTGGATTAAGGACTTTGTCTTGCTTTAGATGAATGTGTGGTTTAATAAGATCAAAAGCATATACTTTTATCAGATGACAGTAAATTCCACCAATAAAATAGCACATACTTTAGCCAATTTGTGGAAGTCACGGAGCTTTGATGTCATACGCAGGCTACGAAGAGGCTCTCCACTCCCCTTGCTCATCTTTCCATGCCAATTATCCCGTGAGATGGGAGAACCAGAGTCTGAGCTTTCTTTAGATCCCGATGATGACGACTTAGGAGCTGTTCTTTGCAACTCCGAATCCATTAAATCTGGATGGTTATCAGCAATGATCCGTTCTTTAATTGGTGGAGAAGGGCAATTATGACTAGCCCCTGTAGCCTGTGAGAGAGACTCAGCAACCACCAAATCTTCTTTGTCAAAATCTCCAGTGGAAGTCCTATTTATAATATTCAGAAATGCTCGTAGGAGGCTATCCAGTTTTTGGTGAAGTGTAAGAAGGAATATATGAAATCCCTGCAAGTCCCTGAGAGCTGCACGAAACCCACCTCGAAATTCATGAACTGAAGCCATATCTTTTGAACGCAAATCAATAAGTGTATCAGAATCTTCTGGTGGAGATCCTAATCTCCCTCCAGTTATCTCATGTAAGAGATTTGCTGCATACTCAGAACTGTTGATGAGGAGCTCAACTAGCTTAGGATAATTTGCCTGGTCATTGGCACGTTTTCCAGCAGGTGGTCTTCGAGGAACCCCAGAATCAATAGCCACGATATGAAAATCAGAACTTGTAATTTCACTTGGAATCTGATTTTTTAGACTAATATTTCTGGATTTTGGAGATTCTGTAACATCAGAAAGATCAGAACTCGGCGATACTAATCCTGAATTATGAGGTCCCAGCCTGCAATCTATTGATGTTGCCTGTCTTTCTTTTTGAAGCGCCCGAATTATACTTGGCCTATATCTCTCAATTGCAGAATCGAAGGCAGCCTCCATTGCACCCATATTTGCAGACGCCATTTTATCAGCCAATAATAAGTTAGCAGAATTCCCGCGCCACCTGAGATGACGGCAAGGGAGCCTATCTTCATTTCTGATGACAAGGTCCAGCATCAAGATCCTGCCAAGGGCTGCCGCTGTTCTATCTGCAGCTTCTCGTGAATCAAATGCATTGGAGCTTTCCAATAGAGGAGATCCATGCACGTAACTGCAAAAAAGAGAAGTTTTTCAGTGTTCAGAGAACCATAGAAATTCAGCAGTCACCTCGATATCATTCTAATGCTTAGCATCCTCTAATCACTCAAATGACCCCCAACACATGAAAGCAACTTCCACTAGGACATTGTCAATTTGTCCAATCTAAAAAACAGCCCGCTCCAAATGGCACAAAGGTAGAACGTTAACCTATTCAAATTTAACTATAGCAAATAATATTTTAGCAAATCAACTAGACTCATCACATAACCCAACGATCTAAACAGACAGATATTTTGTAAGATGCTATTGTGAAGGTAGAGAAAACTCATGCTCAGCATCAATACTACTAGACAGCCAGTGTTAAAGGAAGCAAGGATATTCCATGCTGCTGCATCATAAAACCTTATTTACAACAGAATAAGTTTCAGTATGCACTTCATCAGGAAAAGGCATCGGCTAAGTTCAAGAGCCTCTAGAAGTTCTGAACATGTCACTTCACCAACTTCATCTCCCTCTGAAATTGCAGCATCTCTTGCTTTATCTGCAGCTTCTTTAATCTGCAGCCACTCTGGACAAGAATTGTGAATGACTCTAGCCTGCAGTGTTTAGACAGTAATTTTGTTAGGAGGTCAGTCTTCTGGCCTAAGATGGAAGAGATCAACTAACTGATGAAGTACATAGGTACAACTTGCGGAGTTCGGACACCTAGCCATTTTGCGAATTCATAGCCAAGGCGTTCTGATTGTGTGGCCATCCTTGAAGATGATATCTTGATAACAGCTGCTGCTTCCTCTGGGGAAGATTCATCATTTTCAGGTTGGTTGAATAGCGCAAAAAATACTACACCCCCAGAATTCACGGTAACCTATATCCTCATGAAGTAATAAGGCGGTGCTCAAGTTAGGATGAGAAAGTAGTAATTTTTATGTCCAAGTAAAATGGGAGAAAAATAACCAATGAAAATGTACAAAGTAAAATTGGAGAGCTGTTGCACCTTTATATAATTGTGATGCCAAAAACTAACAATAATAATGATCACACAAGAGAGCTTGTTCATGAGACAAGAATATATAAACGTCAAAGCAGATGTAGCACTGAAGTAAAAATAATAGCATTGCGCCTCAAAGAACGGTTGGCCTGAAAAGGGTCCCATTCTTATAGTCTACGATAAGAAAAAGAAGAATATAAAAATAGGACACACACCGTGAGCATGGCTCAGATGTTGTGGCACCCCTGGCTGGGGTGTGTGTTTCAATGTGGTGTGGGTGTGGGGGGGGGGGGGGGGAGAT